CAATCATAATAATTAGGAACTGTTTTTATGATGCACTACAGGTAGTATAAGCAGGTAGTATTATAGATGCACTACAGGTAGTAAATGTTGTGGGCTTAAAAAAAATATAGATTCTGAAAGTAGGTGGTGGATTAAAATAGGTTTGAGAACCTGTGTACCTACTAATATAACTTAAATTTACTTATTTATTTACGTTAATTTTTTCCCTTTGACAGTATATATAACATTATTACACGATGTTATGTGAATCGTAAACGAACATTTGGTAAATCAAAACTTTTGCAGCAATTTCGTCAACGCAATCATTTAGGTAGCAGATGAACTAAACGTTAGATTATCACAATAAATTACACAAATTTTATCTTTTAAATATTGATTTTATATTGTTTTATTAAAATGAAATATTCTGTATAAATTTGAAATAATTATGTTATTTCTGGAAATAAAAATTTGAGCTACAAAATAAAATTTGAGGATGTTTATAATTTTTTTAGACTTTTGTTTACAATATAAACTAGGTTTTTTTTAAATTTTCAATATTTAGCTATACAAATTGATAATTTTATAAATTGGTAACCAAAAAAAATTTTCACCAAATATTTACTTTAACAAATTTATATAGACATGAAAAAATTGTCAATTTTTTTAAATTTTTATTCGATTTATGTACGATAACATTGTTGTTTGTGAGTGAAAATGTTTGGAGATTTAATACAATGTACCTCATAAGGTTTTCTAACATAAATTGAAATATAATATATGGTAACAACGAACAACTAACATTATTTATTTTTACATTTATATTAATATTATTTCAATCATTATAATATTAACATCTGTTAGCCGGCGCTGTGTATATGCAATTTTGCTACATTGACGTGGAGGTGGTATCTTCGATCTATATAAAATATATTCTATATTATCGCTAGTCGTTAAACGCATATAATATTAAATTAATGTATTTGGTTTCAATGACAGTTGTAGCATACGATACAATTTTCAAAATCGCAATTTAAATAATTTGAATACATTAATAAATTTTAATTCAGAAAAATAATATGTTTTAGTTTTTAAATATTTTTTTATAATATTTTATATTAATACTATTTTATAATTCTGTAATTTGTTAATGTCCATTATGTTATTTATGTAAATAATTATCAGTTATAATATATTATTTGATTTTATTATGTAACTTTAAGATTACATAACACCCGCATGTGTTGTCGCCGCCTTACAATTCAAACCTAACCTATAAATTCAAGTTTTATGCCGTTAGATAGAAAGATAGAGTGAATCGACCTATCATGAAACTTGACGGTAAGAACATTTACTGTGTTTTGTTGGAAGTTTTTTTTACGACAATTCAGTTATGAAGTGATTTATAACGTTTATAGCGTGTATAATAAATACCTCAACGTTTAGGTGTGCATCATACTTGACCAGCAAGTATGGGTTGTATGGGACAACAAATTCATTGCCGACAGGATGACCTTTGACTTTGACCACAAGTCCATTGTTCGGTCTACAATAAGTCGGGTAACCACCATCACACATGTATACAGTCTGCTCGTTGTAAAGAATATTTCTTCGTACAACTGTTGTCCACCATACACGGACTGTTGCGGTTGAGTGGTCCACACGGACCATGAATCATGTGCGATTTCACATTGTCGAGTAGGCGCCTTTCGGATGCAGGGTCAGGCAAGTAGGCACACACAACACTGTCGACGTTGTCGGCAATAAATAACTTGCTGTCCTCATCCAAGATGATGAGTATATGTGCGTGTGGAAGACCACGTTTCTGAAACTCAATGGTGTAAACATAAGCATCTACATTACCAAACACCTTATTGACCGTTATGTCACGCATTAGCACTTTCAGTTTTGCGTGAAACACCCTCGCCACCAAATCAGGTCTGTCGGTTGCCTTCAACCAACACGGAATGTTATCTACTATCTCTGGCCACCTAGGGTTACACCACGGACTAAGATATACAGGACTGGTAACGATAAGGCTGGAGGGTGGTAGAGGGCTGGATACCAAATGTTTTCAATAGGTACATGTGGGACACCTATCGCTATCTAGTAGACTTATAGCTCATCTACCATTACTTCTCTATAAATACATAATTGGCACAGAAAAATAAATTACATTGGCCTCATTGCATATTTTATATTCATTCCATTAGTAAATAGTAGAGTATTTAGACTTTAGAAATTTACTTACTAGTTACTAGAGCGTCTAGATCTACTGCTTGATTTATTTAAATAGTAACGACTATTTTCTACATTTGTGTTGAAATTATAAAATTAAAATTCCTCGCCAGTGTTCAGTATTTTTATGTACCACTAAGGAACGGTCCAATGTTCAGTTGTTTAAAGTTCGAGAATCGTGGGAGGAAATTATTAATGAAGTAAATGGTAATCATAAAGTGACATACGTCACGTCTGTATAGAACATTTTAGGAAAGAAGATTTGATTAACAGTTATAGTGGGTGTAATGACTTGAAGTAAGAAAACATAATTATTTGTATTTAGCCATTTAGGTAGGTACTATATAAGTACCTACTTGGTCATTATAAATTATAAGTTATAACTCAATAATTCTATACACAGTTTAAAAGGAATTTAATTGGGCTAAAAATTGTGCTTTTCCATCAGTATTTAATTTACCATTTGATATTCACAAAACAAATGATTTGCCTGCAGAACCTCGAGAATCTTGTACACCTGTTACTGAGTCATTTAGGAAAGAATTGTTTGGTGAACCCAAGCCTAAGAGATTATGTCAAACACCAACATTAATAGTATGTTTGTGATTAATTGTCATTATAGACCATGTAGATTATTTAATTTATATATACCTACCTAACTTCATAGTTCATATGATTTATTAAAGGAATCAAAACTGTGGTATGAAAGTTTATTATTGCCAGTTGGTTGGTCATTATATCATGATGGATGTATTGTTGCATTGTAGGCTATAAGATGATTTTTTTTTTTTTATTGAATAAATAATATAGTTACAATAAATACATTAGTTATTTAATTTACCCCATTAAGCAGAGCTTGTGGCGAGGTAAATGAGTTGTTAGTTTACAAATAAAAACTATAAAATACATTTAATTACAATATTTATATAACTTAATTCATAATAGCATACAATTAACAGTTAAAGATTCAGTAACAACCAGTTTACAATAGTTTTTTTCTTAAATACATAATCATTTTTATATACATTATTTACAATATTCTTTTTCAGCTCAAGTTGCATAGAATTAAAATTAATTGAACCTAAATAATCTACGAACTTATTACATATATTTTTTTTTGTGTAACTAACCTGCAGATCGTAAGCCCTGTGTTCCCTTTTATTGATGTTTTCAGTAGTATTAATTTTACCTGCTCTAAATAAAATAAAAAATTGCCTATATAAATAACTGACCGGTAGAACTCTAAATTCTTTATAATTTATGGAAGTCATAGAATTTAATGAAGCTAAAATGGTTATTGAAAAACAAATTGTTTTTGAATCAAATAGTTTAAAAGTGAGCTATTATGTTAATCAAAATTCAAAAGCGTCGAAATCCTAAAAATTTGTGTCTACAACAATTAACATACCCACTTGATACATTGCAAATTACTGAAACCCTTCAATTGTTTGAACAAAAAGAAATATGCCAAGGAGGTCCCAGTGTCATACATTTTTCAGGTATGAGTTTTAAATGTTAAATAAAACAGCTGTTAAGGTACCTACCTAAACCAATTTTTATTTAGGAATTCGGGTTAAGAATACTTATTTAGAGAATACAACCTGGCGCCATAATGAATGTTCTATTCTAACAAGTTCAAAAAAAAGATGTAAAAGGTGCAATTCATTGTTCCCTTATTTTAGAGAGTATAAAAAAAGATTATCTATAAGAACTAAAACATATGTTGGAACAACTCTCACTCCTACAAGACACAAAATAATTAAAGGGATGATAAAAAAATCGAAAAATGTTAAGAAATCCAACAAAAGGTAAAATTAATTTAAACTAATTACCTATTTATTTATTAAAATGTGACGAAATCACAAAAATATACATATGTGTTGGTCTAGAACTCTTTATTATAAGAAAACAAATCACAATTTGATATATCATTATATCATAATACAAATGTATTTAAATAACAAGGTATAAAATCACTAAAAAATATTTATAAATTAGCAATTCTTAAAAAGACAATGAGTGTAATTAATAACAAGTTTAATTGATGATAAATTGTGTTAAATGATTGCAAAAATAAGTTATTAAAAATAAAAAATTTCATCAGAAATAAAAAAAAAATGGTTATTCTTCTTCATCTTCAAGATTACGTCATTACCAAATTCCAACAATTTTTGTTTATTTCTGTAATTTTATAATAACATGTTAGTGAACAAAACTACTATAATTTTTTTAAAGATAAATAGTAGTTAATTTAACTAGAAATAATTAAATAGGGGCTTATAAGATAAGATTCATTTATACTCCTATCAATAATATATTTGAAACATTCAGTACAGGGATGGCCAAAGAAGATTAATCCAGTAGAAACAAATTATAAATCTTAGTACAAATGTCTATAACCCTCGTCCAAGTTGTTTAATATATCTTTTCTAGAAGTAAAATAAAAATTAATGGTATAAATATAGTATAAATAGTATTAAATACTATATAATGAACATTTTTATTATAATATTATAATTGTAATTATGTGTAATTTAGTATAAATTTTTTTGAAAACCTTTGCAACGACATTACAAACATTTCGAAAAATAAAAATAGTAAAAAATAATGATATATTATATTATTTAAAACCATTGCTAACATAATTTTAAAATAAAATTATTAATATGTCTTGTCCACGGACTAAGATATTCAAAAAGAATAATTTAGAATTCTTAAATTTACATCACATATCTAAAAAAAAAATACAGTTATAGTTCATACAAATAATATTTAATTAGGAATTAAGAATTTAATGTTATATTTTTAATAATACTAACGAGTTGAGTGTTAATTGAATGATAGCCCTTACGATTGACATAGATATGCTCTGGATATAACTCATCATTTTTCTTTGGTGGTGTTATAGCAATATGAGTGCAATTAATAACACCAACAACTCCTTGTAAGCCATACTTGGCAAAGAAACTAATAAATCAATATTTATTTCAATGAAACATCAATAGTTTAAATATTAAGCTAAGAATTTTGAGGTATACCTTGTACGCACACTATCAAGCTCATTGAAATTGCTTGGAAAATTAACAAATTGATTAAATATAACCAGATTAGAAAACGCATTTGACACTTCTTCAATAATTCTGCTAACTGAAGGTTGAAATACAGATGAATGTCGATTTTCACCAACATCCATCTGATAACTTCCAGCAGCAAAAAATCTTAAAGCAACAATAACCTACAATAATATGTAAAATATTTGTATAATTTATTTAATATGTCACTTATATATTAGTATAAAAATATCATAATTGTAACTATTTTTGTCTAACTATATGTAAGTACTTCTAATGTATTATATTTACTTATTTAATTTTTTTAGTTAGTTTAATAATAATTATAGTATTGTGAAACCACATCAAAAAGTTTTGAAACAAAACACATTAGGGCAATACTTTTTTTTTAAGTTTTAGGAGTTGCATATTGTTCTGTATTCTCTTGATTTATAGCAGACCAAGGAAGAAATCGTAAGTTGATCTTAAAAAATTTAAATGCATGCATATTTCCTTAATTTTAGGAGAAAATTGTATATATTTTGTTGATTATCATCGATTTTCATACATAATATTTTCAAAACAAATAAGCAATAGAAGGTTAATTTTTTTCTTCCTTAACCTATGTATTTTTAATGATTGAAAATGAAACTTAATATTATTATCTAACATGGTTATTTATTGTTTTTGTACACATTAAAAACAATAATAACGACATGTGTTTTTGAATAATTATTGTTTGCATGTTTATTACACTTTTAATGCATATTTCACCTTTTTAGTTTCTATTACTTCCGAGACCTAATATTTCTATAATGTTATTAATTTGATATAGGTCCTTACTTTGCGTTCAATACTGATTCCTCTCGATGTAGATGGTGCGTACATAAAAGGTGTTAGCAGAGTTACAACTCTCTTGGCCAAATCTTTGGACAGTCGATACCGTTTAATAAAATTACGGTCCGACAAATCTAAGAAAATAAAATAATATTCACTAGGTTCATGCCTACAGTAATGACATAATATATTTTACGAATAACATGATGAATATGATATTTGAGGTGAAGCCTTTTGAATTGTCTAAGGTGACAGTGGCGTATTTAGGAATTTGTCATGGGGAGGGTCCAGAACTCCAGAACACAGAGCCACGGGGGACGAAGCCCCCCACACCACCCATTTACTCTTTATTAAATAAAATATACCATATTTATAAGACGATATAAAATTGTCGAGTTTTTAATTATTAAATAATAATATGTACAAAACAAATTTAAAAAAAAGCGGGTGAGTGGATGTCACTCTGCTGCTGTACAGTAGGTTACAAGTGGGTCAATGTATAATGGATTGTATTAAGCTTGAACTCAATGATATAATATAATATCATTGTATAAGAAAAACGATTCTGAGCGAAGACGGTTTGTCAGTCTGGATATTTTATATTGTTATTATTTATTATAGCCTGTTAGTTGAATTAATAATGAAATACTTTTATTT